AACAGCACTCAAATTCTAAATGTATTTGGTGAGTTTGAAAATGGTGTCATTTCTTAAAATATATGATTTAAATTTCTGCCTCCAACATATTATATGCAAATACTTAATACGGAATGTGGGAAGGAACCATAGCAAATTGAGATCACAAAGGCAAAAAACCTGTCGACATTTGCTAAGCATTTGCCACGTGTGCAAAACGCTTCATGTCTGCGGTGTATACTAGGCGGAGGGTGTATGACCGTCACGCGTAAAGAAACTGTTTTTCGAATGCTATTTAACCCCTGGTGGAAGAGGTGGCCTGATCTCGGTGAAAAAATTATCGTATGGGTACGGTGTTTAGTATACTCGTCGAGTCTGTGGTGCTCATGCATCATGAGTTAAACAACTGCATTGTCTATCAACCTCAATCACTTCCATCTTAATGTACACCATTCCCGAAGCGTGTTACTTAGTTTGTCCGCCGCAGGACTGTGATTGTTGGATAAGGAAAGCACACTCCACTCAGACATGGCCATATCAGAGCATAACATTGAGGGCACAGATAAGCAGCCGACTCAGAGAGCAAAAGTGTAAAATGATCGTCAGATTAGAGATTAATTGAACTGGTGCCGGAGACATACAGAACGTAGAGTATACAGATGATAAGATTTGATCTAGTATGAAGGTATGCATTGAAGCGGACATGATGAATAGTAATGTCTCTTTCCAATCCGATCAATATCGCGGGACACCGCTTCCAAAGCACGGTGCTCGTAAATGAAGTAAAGCAAATGCAATTCTAGATGGTTGAATGCAAGGTAGTCGAGGAATGCCCATGAATAAATATGGTGTTCTGTTTCAGTGACCTTTGTTTTTATGGCTTCGCCCCGAAATTCGGCCGTTGCTCTTCAATTAATTGGTGCAGGACCCCCTTGAATGTTTCGTCCGTCCATGAGAGCCGCGCGTTGTGCTCGGTCGATGCGGTCGGCCACACGCGCACCCAGCGCTCCTCGACCATTGTGGGGACGAGTGCGCCGCTGCGAGCCGCCCACTCCTTCCCCTCGCTCCTGTTCAGACAACGGCGTTGATTCTCAAACCAGCGGGTGGTTCTCAACAGGGACCTAACATTAGCGTATGCTGATTAGCAAAAGCGACTTTATGCGGAGAGGGAGAAGCTAACCAGTTGATGGCGACGGCAATCATTGAGCGCCAGTGAATGTCGGGGTACGGCGTGATATGTTCGAATATCCAGGTCATGATGTAGGCCTGGTACGGTGTAGGCGCTGTCGCGCACTTGATGGCTATTGCTTTTGCCTTTAGTTGAGACCGCACGGCCTGCTTGTCCTCTGGCACGCTGCTTCGAGCACGGGCACGAGGCAGGTCTTTCTTCATGAGCGACTTGCTCTTGCCCGTTGTCCTCTTTTTCTCTTCAGGAGCGCGCGGGCGTAGGTTCCTGGTGGTTTGCGGTGCGGGCTGAGTGGATTGCTGGTCGACCATGGCTGTCTGCGAGCATCATCGTACGTGAGCATCACTGGTCATACAATAGTGTCTCCATCGGACGCACCATTAGCTGGGATGCCTGCTTGACCAGAGCGAGGATATCTATAGTGCTTGATGTTGCTGCATTGTCTTGTATGCACGGTGGTCGGGAGCCGGAAGCGGAGTGAACAGGAGCACTTGAGAGCATCATCAGAGCATCGGCTGCTTCTTGCCTACCGCAAGTCTGGCAACAGTCAGGACAACAGGAGGCCTCTTGCTGCAGGCTACGACAACCCGGGACTTCTATTATCTGGATGCTGCGCAGAGGAGTACCGGAGGCAGAAGAGTACGGAAGGACAGACGCAGCGGACATCTTGATTTAGAGTGGCGTGGGATCCAAGGGAGGAGTGGCTGTGACCGCAGCGATGAGGAGTCTGAAGGGAGAACAACATCGCGCTATATATACAAGAAAACGAAACGATGGCCCGAGTGGCTCATCACCACAGGCCACACCGGAGGCCCTTGTCCTTCCTAAAGCGGCTATGTCGGCCTCGTGGTGTAGTCGTGTTCATATGGGCCACGCGAGTATCTATGGCCTTTGTCCGTCGGCAGGCTGAGCATGGCACGGCCGGCCACAGCGCGCGTGTGGTCAGATTCGCGCCTTGGTCGGCATGCTGGTTCTGTCGGCCGGCGGTCTGTAAAAAAGCAGATCAGAGAGCCGAGGTCTTACTATCTGTAGTACGTTAGGGCAGGAAAGAAAGAATTCACCATCGAAGATGAGAAGTGAAGTGACCCACTCATCGATACAGTGCTGTCAAATTAAGTACGGGGTACAGCCAATATCTCCACACTGGATACTTTTGGAGATGAAGACACAGAAAATCAAGGTGGAGTCCTGGTGGACCGACAGACGGACCTGATGCTCATGATCGTATCGTCCTCCCTCAGTAGGGCATTGGACCGCGATCTACTGTACCCATATATCCTCCCTTAAGGCCCTGTGATATAACATCAGCTATCAGGGATGATATTGACAGTGAGGAAGTACTCGGCGTGAGCCTCTCATGCGAACGCACGAGAACGCCGTTAATCTGCGTGCCGTGCGTGCGTCGGTCTAGTTTATGGTGCATATATTCATGAAATTAGAATCGGACGGAAAGCCTACACGTCGCAAGCAAAGCCAGATGATTCACAGTACAATACAAGATCGCTCGAACGGGGACTGAATCCAAGGAAGGTAATGTAGGCGAGGGAGCCTATCGAACGGACGAACGATAAACGGAGTCGGCCCATTCAAGACCTCTCTCCCCTGAGACGACGAGCGAGAGCCTGGACAGCATCGTCAGCACGTAGTGACGTGGAGCAAGGAAGCGACGACATACCAGATCCTTGGGCTGGATGGTGACACGCTTGGCGTGGATGGCAGCCAAGTTGGTATCTTCGAAGAGGGAGACGAGATAAGCCTCAGCAGCCTCCTGAAGCGCCATGACGGCCGAGGACTGGAAGCGCAGGTCCGTCTACGCATACAACATACGATGAATAAAATGTCCGACACTTTTTGTAGAGTGAATGCATACCTTGAAGTCCTGAGCGATTTCACGGACAAGACGCTGGAAGGGGAGCTTCCTAATAAGGAGCTCGGTGGACTTCTGGTACCGCCGGATCTCACGGAGGGCGACGGTTCCGGGCCGGAACCTGTGGGGCTTCTTGACTCCGCCAGTGGCGGTCTGGATGTATCAACAAACCACAACAAACAGCGGAAGATACGAGACCAGAGCAACCCACAACCCACTCTGTCAGCGATCGCAGCGATAACGACGGAAAAAACGACGTACAGCCGTCGAAGTCTTCCTGGCTTTTGTGGCCAGCTGCTTACGAGGGGCCTTGCCTGTTGTCGTAGATTATCAATGTCTGTAGAGATTTCGTAGCTACGAACGATTATACTCACCACCAGTGGACTTGCGGGCGGTTTGCTGTCAACGGCGACGACGACGACGACGGTCAGAACATTATCAACGGTCGTCAAACTGAACCATCATACCTTGGTACGGGCCATAGCTATTCAACGATGTATGATTAGGGATGAAAAGGCGAGGAAGTCGACGAAAAACGGGCTCTTGAAGGTCGGAAGGTTCGAGGGCGGTGGTGGTAAGCGGCGAAGAGGGCGACGGGGGGCGGTGGGGTCGTGCGCTGACTGTTCGTCGTGTTTAAATGTCCGCTTTGCCATTTCCCACGCTCGGATGTTCCGTGACAATACAGGGCCCAACCCTTCTGGCCTGACGCGACTTGCTCGCGGAAGATTGGCAGAATTTCGCAACTTTCTCGATTTATTTTGCTTCTACTGCCTCGTTCTTCTTCAAATCACTTCATTATGTCTTAGGACTTCATTGTGCACTCTACTAGCGGTTTTGACGCATGAAAGTGCGAGATGGAGCGAAGAACGTCGAGAGAAGCAAGGTGTCGATCGGGGATGAGTTGACGCGCATCACCTACCTCGGGCGCTTATGCAATGTCACAGAACTTCAAGTCCCTAGGAGTCCTCGTGCCTGGCTACAGCCCCATCTTCCTTGCGTTAGCATCGTGAATACCTAACGACTGCGCTGCCTTACTGATCGGAAACTGCAGTGCGTCTGTGAGGATCCTACCTGCAGACCGTCAAAATTGATCCGTCATCGCAGCTCATTTCACCGACTGCTTTGAAAACTAGAGATTTTCCGTTCGCTTCTCGGACCAGGTAGACCGATTATCCTTGCGTACTCGAAGTCATTGTACTACGCGCTTTTGGTAAGTGTTAAAATCGCGTACAACTACAGAGGCAGTTTGGAATATGCGACCATTCTTCATGTTGGGATCATGAGTGGCACCGCATTGGCGACAGCTGTACTGCAAGGGCTAACAGATGTGGTTCTGGATGAGGAACAATCTCGTTATCTAGCCTTAGTCATGCCGTAGTTGCTTCTGTCATCAAAGGTGCATTGTGTAGCTGCTTAAGTGCTGATTTTGATGCGAACCAGCCGCTTTCCCACTGACTCTACCATTCGGCTCGTGACATTGCTACCAGTATTGTACCCTTTCCTGCAGAATGCAAGCTCATCCATCCGTGCGTATCTTACGGTGTACCAGAAATTTACTGCTGACCTCGTACGGCCAGTAGTATCCAGAGCTGTCAGCGCTCCTACCAAAGTATCCGCGAGCAGCAGGCGCACTGTTCCAAACCTATAACGACCTGAAACTATGTAAGCCTTTCCTCCCTTATCAAGCGCATGCTTTTACCCTGACATACGGCGTATCAAGCACAACAATGGAGTGGCCTCGAGGTCATCGACCTGACTGCATGTTCTCGAGGGGCGTTCCGAGGGAAGCGCCCGAAGACAGTACGTATTCGCCGAAATGTTTAAATGTGTCCTGCCTGACCTCACAGCTGCTCAGGACGACGTGCTATATGTTATTCCCTGCTCTCTATCCGAGTCGCTCTCCACCGCTTGGTAAGTTAGTTCGGTCTGTAGGCTGTCCTTGCGCATTGACACCGCGGATCAGGCTCAAGGATGCATTTCGCGACCTTGGAAGTCCAGACAATGTGTACCTTGCAATCAATGACCAGGATTCGTCCATCGTATATTACAAGATCAGTCCAGGGATCGTCAAGCCACCTGTCTAAACAGGCGAAAATCGCTCAATGTTCCTGCACCGCGCATAGGAAAGGAGGCGGGAGGTTGAGCACTACAGCAATACTACTACTATAACCTAGCTGCTCAAATACACTAGATAGATAAAGAGAGCATTAGGCGGTCACACACTCACTACCCGACCCGTGTGTCCCTGGTGCTTTTCGTCCAGCAGTAGCACACAAATACCTACGAGCACAAAAATGACGACGCTGGTGAACACCGGCACCGAGTAGTTGATTGCGAGCAGCGGTCCGCCCAATATTGGGGCAATGATGCCTCCTCTGCAAATCGTCAGCAGAATGGCCTCAAAAGGGAGTGTGCAGCAGATGATGGGACACTTGCATACTCGAGAGCGCCGATGCGATCCCTGTTGCAGAGCCCCGTACTAGATGGACATGGTCGATGAAGAATTAAGGAATACGAGTGTTGGAGTGTGGCTCACCTCTTGTACTGAAGATTCCTGGAGTCCACCTGCAAGTCCGCAAACGTATGAATACACTGTCTTCGTCACTGGTGGATTACACCCACCCGTACAAGATGGACCACATAACCTAGGCGAGCGCGCCATCAATAAAACATCCTGTTATTTGCACAGTGACGAGACCCACCGCAGATGTCAAACTGATAGCAGCAGTGCTGGCTCGTACAAGCCACAAGCTCTCCGTAATCATGAATAAAATGCAACAGAATGCTGTGACGAATATGCTGCCCGCAAGCGACTGCCGTCTGCCAAATGGTGACTCTACGAGATAGGCTCCGAGCTAGGCACCCACCCATCGTCAGTTCCATCCATAGGTTCGAACTGTGACTCTGAACGGGCTTACGATCGCGCCTGGGCAGCCGCCTAGGGCCCATGTGAGGACGCTCCACAGGCTCGCTGTTACATCTACTGGCGTTTCATTTGGGGTGCCGGAATTGGACTTGCCCTCGAGCACTTTGGGCAAGTATGTGTTGAACATGGTGAATGCTATGTTGTGACGAGCGACCTATTGTCAACGAGCACGAAAAGGATGGTGCGCGGACAGACGCACACAGAGACATCCCGAACCAGATGATCCACACCAGCACTGTTGTCCGCCTCCACTCCGGTGCAAGTGCGAGCGTGATGCGGTCGGACAGTGCCCCTATCGAGAAGGTGTCTGCCAAATGTCGGTGAGGCGGAGCTGTGCCGTCCTGGACGTCATCGACACTTAGAGAGATCGCCTCCCCGTTGAACTGTGCAATGCTCTGCAGAACCTCAACCGCATCTTTCTGCCGGCCGGCATGCACGAGATACCGAGGCGATTCGTGCAACTTCAGGTAGGTGAGGCGCGCGACAAACATCGCCAGCGTCTGAGGATTTGCCTTTAGATGAGAAGATCATCATGACACGCGCATGCATAAGAAACGTACCAGAGTGGCGATACAGCGCAGCAAGTACTTCCAGCCGACGTGCTGCGCGGTCGGATCACACTCGGCGGGTGCGGGTGGGCATAAATGGCCTGGGATGACGAGGAGCGCAACACAGGCGGAGACAACGGATCCGAAAGAGAAGAAGACTGAAAGCAACGTCACAAGGAAGTGCCTCCCGCTCGGAAGGTGCTCGTGGAACAAGGTGCCATCGGTGGGCATCGAGCCCTGAGAATGCGATTGTCAAAGAACTAGAGAGCAGTCCGGAGGATATCAAGACCGTACCCCGAATGCACTGCCCAAGAAGAACATAGCGATGCAGAGCGAAGTAAATGAGCGGACGACGGAGGAGAGGAAACCAATCATCGAGGCGAGGAGCAGGGTGGCATAGAACGGCATTCTACGCCCTTTGAGGTCTGAGTCTATGAGAGGGTAAATCGCTGATGCTTGATCTCATTGATGTCTCTGACATACATGTGCCCCAGCCAACGCTGCCAATCATGATTCCTGCGAAGGCGGAGGAGGAAAGCGTGCCGATATAGTTGTCGCTGACTGGGAATTGTGTGAGTTACACGCGTAGAGGGACGAACTGCGCCGTCATCGAACATCATAGAGATAAGAATTCTGGACGGGATGAGAGCCGTAGCTCTTGATCTATGCGCGATTAATCGCATGAACATGTCATCATCCCGGCTGACGTATTACAAGCATCGGTCTCTAATCCGAATCTTCCGCGTCAACCAGCGGAAGTTTGAGCCGAGGAGGCATGCTTGCAATACACAGATGCATATCGTAAAGCATGGGACATGGTCATGATTGTATAAACAACGTTACAAAGCACAAAATGGAACGCTTACTTGAGAATTGCTCTTGAACACGTGGGAGGATGATCGCGATGGTCTGCATCCACATCTAACGGAATTCGTGAGTAAACGGAGAACACAAAATGTAGAGCATACATGCATTATATGACATCCATCCTGTAACAGTTTGGCGAGAAGAATTACATTCAATATAAGTTCCACTCACCCAAACCACACAACAACATCAGTCTCCATTGGTACCGTCCTAGATAACGCGATAAAATTTGCACATATATATGTAAAAAAACTCTGGCATTCAAGACATTTGGCAACGCACCCATTCCTATGAGATCTATCGTGCGATCCAGCGTCGTTAGCTTGAGACTGGGCTCTATGCCCCCGCGCTCTTCCGCGCCTGCTTCATCATCATCACCCGGAATCGGGGTGTATTCTCCAGATGGCATCTTCTGTGAGCTCGTGGCTCAGCTGAATTGTATGGTCTCGTAGTAGCGTGAGAGTAGTGGTCGGGCGAAGCGCGCGGCTGCGGACGAGCGTCGAAGCCTTTGGACAACAAGACCAAATGCTAGACGCGATCACGTGATTCCGGGTCTTCACGCCATGTGGTCAAAAGAAGACGTAATGATGATGAAAAGGTGGCAGGAGGCGTGTTGTATGGCACATGGGAATGGCCCATATTGAAGGTAAATACTTTGCACACGACGATGATGACGGGACTGAGAGTCAACCCGTATAGCACGAATGCATCGGTGCAGCTTTTGGTTATGAACACGGAATTTTGAGTTACTGACTGCGATGGCATTGGAGAAGGGAGAAGACCGCGGGTGGCAAACGAGGCGAGCGAACAATCCGACCGCACGTGGAACTTTGCGCCATCGGATAAAGTATCAACGAATTGGAACCATGACAACGATACGTAGCGGTTGTCGCGTTATTCACTCGACCACATACTGTAAGCACTCCGACTGCATAGCGCGATGAGCAAATCAAACAACGGATGGGATAATGGAGAAACCACGGTGACGATAACGGTGACTAGCTAGACAGACGGCGAGTGTAGGGGCATGGAAGGAGTTCAGACGAGGAGGAAAAGGACATAAAACTACGGAAGGCAAAATAAGCTGTAAGGCGAGAGCGAAGGCGAGAGACACGAACCACTGGTGTTACAGCAACTGAGCAATCTCCCACCATATGGGCTGGTGTCCAAGAGCGTCTGCGAGCATCTGCGCTTTCTTCGCTGAGATCCTGCTATAGAAAGCGTCCCTGTCCAACTTGAACAGGGTTAGGACGGGAACTACAGCGTCGACATCCTCTGTAATCTGTGGGATCTGCTCTTTCGCCTTCGCCGAAACGTAGGCAAAGTGGTCGTCGATCGAGTAGTCATTGACGAGGCGTTGGAGGTACACTAGGCCGTTTAATTCGAGGTCGTTATCGTCGAGGCCGGCTGCAGCGGCCTGTTCGGCATCGAGTTTGAAAAATTTGGAGAGTGCCACTTTTTCGAGCAGACGATTGCCACTTTTTCGAGCAGACGATTGCCAATGTAGAACCCGAAATACATTACACCGCGCCTCGCACTGTCGGCCTCCTCTGCGGTGGGAAAAGGTCTGCAGTCGACCCGTTTCGTGCGCTTCCTCCGATCATGTCGGTGCGATGTTGTTCGAGATGAGGGTTCGCCCTGAGAGGGAGTAAGCTCAGGCTTGCTGGACGGCACGAATGGCTTCTTGTTGAGCTGGTAATGGCGTGATAAAATGATGACCAGACAAGGGAATAACTGACATACAGATAGATTATCCGATTTGCGAGAGCTGGCAGCGGTGGTGGTATTACGGCGCTTGGCCGGCGGCTCGTCAAAGCTGTCCATGTCGTGGTCATGTCTGCTCGGATTGACAAGGGTGTTGGACTCGTCGAATGCCTGAGCAAGTTTGGGGATAAGGCCGGTAGGGAGCTCATTGAAGTTTGCGAGGCGATGTCAGACGTCCGTCCAGACTTTCAGGCAACGGACCATGGCATCAGCTAAGTCGGGGGGCGTGCTGCTGTCGGACAGGGCGCCAACGGCGTGGCTAACACCGACGGAGAAGAGCTCTCTGCACACTGAGACCAGTTCCTGTTCCTCAATTGTCGCGGACGTCGGGGTCGTGGAGTGGGAGACGGTCGAGGTATCAAGAGCAGGAGGAGCATTGGGAGGGGCGGTACCGTCAGATTCCATTGTAGCAGGGTAAGCACCCAAGGGAAGGTGGTGGTCACAGGGAAAGAAGCTGCAGTCGATATGGTCAATTGGAAACGCTCGACTTGATGGACAGACAACAAGGGCGGCGTGGTCTCACAGTGAAGCCTTGAGGGCCAGTGATGGTTAGCCTTCACTAGCCCGCTCCCTTATGTAGTAACATATATCAGTAGATCGATAATGATAAGGCCCGTGGCCACACCTCGGCATCATCCGGTTTCCGCGGCGCTTTCCCTCCACCTGCCCGCCCTCAGCGCTGGGGAGATGCATATGACGTCAACAAGTGGCCCTCCCTGCTGCACGATGTATAAGAGCTAGCGACGTTCAGCCCACCTTCCTTACCTTTGTCGACGACCTACTGCCTTATACACATCAAAGTCGCGCTTCTATAGAGTCAAATTAGTCTCAAGCATTCCTTGCCATCATGTCCGGAGCTATGCTATCCAAGGTTGGAAACCCTCAGGTCTACAACGACGGAGACCAGAGGCAAGTAGATACTCTGAATTTGTATGGTGCAGCGATCCTAATGATGGCGTACAGGCCACATGGCCGCGAAGCTCCAGCACCTTTCGAGGCCGGCCAGCGGAACGCGCACGACATCCACGACCCGAAGTAAGAATACCGTGACACCTCCACAATCTATGTGCCACCGTATCCTGACCACCTCAACGTGCAGAGACAGTCTCACATTACAGAACAGGATGAAGCGCGAGGAGAAGGAGGAGCGCGAGCGCGACCAAGAGTCACAGACCATCACGGACCCTCTTGAACCTGCAACCAGGCAAGGCCACGAGCCGTCGCGCGGAGCACAGATAGACGCCGAGCTGCAGAGGGAGGACGAGGAGATGCTTGCGAAGAAGCAGCAGTAGAAGGGATCTTTTGGACCGACAAACGGCTTGTCATGAAGGAATACATCAGGACTGTAGGATCGACAAATCCATCATTGTACCACTACGCATTGTTGTGCCAGCAATGGTCAAATCTCAGTAAGGGGGGCTCTCCTGAAACTTGATAGCCTGCTTTATGATCGGCGGCGCAAGAATGTTCCCGCACATTGGTGCAGCGATGGATTAGTACTATCCATGCAGCTGTGTGACTAGACACTGCTGTGACAAGAAAACCATCTCACAACCTCCTATAGACTATGAGCCTCTCCTTATCCTTATGCGTCTCCTGGCTGTTCTCCGGCACCCTATCCAGAACCTTCTCCCATCCGTCCCCGAGGACTTCGACGTAATGCTCCGGACGCACGAAGAACGGCGGTCCAACATCAAGCGGCTGGTCCATGATGGGAAACACCAGCGTGATGAGGTATCCACCGGGCTTGATGAGGTCGCGCATCTGACGGCCCCATTCAGGGCGCCGCGCGGGCGGGATCGCGACGAAGAATCTGGAGCGAGATAGCAATGCGGTCTATGGCAAACGCAGATGGGACTAGGATGTGACTTACGTGTAGTCGTAGATAAGGTCAAATTGGTCTTCGAGGGTGAAGAAGTCGTTGATCTGGAAGCTTATCTTGGTCCCAGCAGGGATGCTAGACGACTCGGCAAGCCTGCATGCGCGTCCCACGATCGCCAAAACGCCCCTAAGCAGCTGTTTAGGGACACGAAGAAGGCACTATAACACTTACGCAGTAGCAGCTTGTACGGCAGACTCGGAGATATCAAGTCCTGTAGTGTCGAGCCCGAGCACGGTCGCGATGAGGATCGCATCGTAGCCCTGTACGACATTCTTTCACGTCAGTGACGCCCCTCCCTGGTTCACACTCAGAACGTACGCGGCCACAGCCGGGGACGAGCGCGCGTCCGGCCTTAGGAAGAGGGAGTTCCCGTGAGGCGAGCAGCTCGCGCAGGGGTGGCTGAGATTGGCCTGCATCCCAAGGGGTGACTTTCTCCTTCCTAGAAGGAAGAGTTGTAGTCAACGACTCCGCTGGAGGAAAGGGGGTGTTTACCAGGCATTGTCCCAACCGCTGCCGGGATCCTGCGCGACAAGCTCACGCAGGCGGACTATCTCTGGATTATTGATGTTCATTGCGTTGGTGCTGTTCAAATTCGTCGGCCGGGAAGTGCTTAAGGGCTAGAGAGGCTGCTCTCCTTGATGCCTATAAGTGGACCGTGGTCAGGGGTGACATAGCCCGAGCCTTTGTATTCCGAATTATTGGTCACGCTCGATCAGCCCACATGATGTAGTCGAGACAGTGTATCATAGATGTGAACTCCCCTGTTGTCGGCTCGAGACTACGCTTGGCACCAAGCAAGGTGTAGTGTGTTGAGCACTAGAGCACTTGAGTCTTGACAATCGTTCTCAGGGACGTCATCTATCTATATACACCCTTAGCGTCCAGCTTGAACAGGTCTTCGAGCTTCACATCGGAATGCGAACCCCGAGGGTGTCCACGTCGGCTGATCTGCCGTGAACGCGGGCCGCAGCGAAGCGCACGATTCCGCGCCCGCGCCTCGTCGGAGATGTCCCGCGAGAAGAAGCCGGCGGGTAGATGCGTGCATGCGTTTGTTCAAGTACAAGGCATCAGGGACGAGCGGGCTGCGTTTGATTGGGACGTGGTGGGGGTTGGGTGACCGGTGCGGCTGGGGTGCATGAAGAAATCGTCGACGAACAAAGCCCGCGTGAAGTGCCTGATGAAAGCTCTGTCTCGAGTCGACCGGCAGAATGAAGCTATTCATGGCGACTGGGCATACTGCGGGAGTATGGCGAAGAGAACGCGCATGTTGTCTACTGTGATAATGCGTCCTGCACCGAGGCCTTGCGACATGCGACGGTAGTTTCGTTCAAACGTCAACAACGCTCCGAGCAATTATCGTTCATAATAGGACAGCGTTGAAGTCTGCTGTGCATAGAAAACATCGAGATTCAGAGCAGGTGCTGACCATAGAGCTCATGTTGGTATCATGCAGAGCGGTTTAGACGGGGCTGTTGGCTGGAGCAAAACGGCGTACAGCCACAACGCGCCTGTGGCGTGGAGTAAGGATCACTCCGTTGCGCGCTTAACGTATCCACAGGGATTATCGTGTTCATACAGAAGCGATGATATGGCTAGCAGAGGTGACATCCTAGAGATCCTAGTCCGCCTTTGAACTGCCGTCGAACACTCAGGAATTCCGGACATAACCAAAGTCCTCGTCAGCAATCGTGCTGAACGAACACGCCTTCCTCCTTATCATCGGTGGTCATGGATTTCATCGCAGAGGATCCATGGATGAGGATGAAATATCCGGAAATGGACTAAATCCCTGCCCGTCTTGTACCATCCGCTGCTCGATTACCTCGGACTGCAATGCCAGAGGGCGATCTGTCAAAGTAGCGCAATCGATGTCAGCAAACGGAAGACTCGTTCCGGCGTGCAGCCGCAGTCCGGGATCGCATTGGCGAATGCTGCACAGGACTAGAAGTCAATCGGATCCAGTTCATACAATAGATGATATGACCTCTCTTACGATGCGTGTCCTCTGGATCAGTCCTCCACACCCACGCAGGCTCGCTTTATCTTGCCCACCACAGCGCGGAGCGTTGCTCTCTCTGTGCACCGAAAATATCGCAATCCCAACGTGCCGCTGGTGCAGCATCACTCACTCTCGTAGGGTGGGGCGCGATAGTGAGTGGCAGCACATCCGACGCATCCCCATCGGTAGTATCTAGACGATAAAAGCACAGCCTCCTCATTATACTGACGGCGTGCAGTGTGTGATTCACAGATCTGCCATGTGTTCTCTAACCCG